GCATGGATCCATCCTGCCTTCTATCAATGGTTCACACCGGTGACAGTGTCATAGTGTGGGGGATCTTTTCTAGGCACACTTTGGGACCCTTATTTAAACTCCACAGTCTTCCATGGTCACTCATCTTCTTCTGATGGTTACTTCCAGCAGGATAACACAAGAATTATGGCAGTTGTGAAGGTAAAAGGAACAACATGTACCTAATAAAGTGGCCTGTAAGCTCATATCCACACACAAAACAACCGAAATGAGATGCAGAAATCATGTATAACAACCACATGGAGACACAAAATATCTCAAACGTGACTCGATATTATCATTGTGACACTAAACGATCAGAAATGCATAAAACAGCAAAATGTAGGCAAAAAAAGACAATAGAAATGTGTACACAAATCACAAAATTTAAAATAAATATAGTAAATAACCACAAAACAACTAAAATTATGCAAAACATAACTTGAGAGAAACTATTTAAATGCCTTAAAAATCTTCACTTCTCTTATCCAGCTTCTCACCTCGGTCTTCCAAGCCCTGGATCATCCCCTGCAGGACGTGGGCCTTCACCGTGCTCTGGGTCCAGTGCTGCTGCAGTGCAGCCAGGACAAAGCCCCCCTCTTCACTCTCCTGCGTCCAGCTCAGGCCTTCAAAGTGGCAGTCGTACAGCACCAAAGGGTAGTCCACTGCCATGCTGAAGATGACACAGATTCATATGATAAATATATTATTTTTATTTGAATATTTTAACCACTTCTACAGCAGTCAGTTCACCTGTACTGGGGCTTCCTGGGGTTATTCTCCACATCCAGGAGCTGATTGATTACATCCGCGGCTTCCAGCTTCTGTCCAATCAACAGAAGCACCGCCATCATGCACCGTACCTGCAGCACATAAAAGGAAATAACCAAAAATTCACTACATACCACCAAACCATTCAACCGTAAACTCCATGAGATGCTGCATCCTCTGATCCAGTTTCTCTAAATCTGAACTTTCACATTAAAAAATGTTTGCTAGAGATGAAAGGGAAAGGGAAAGCAGTGTAGAGTAACTCTCTCCTGGTACCTGGTGATAAAGGAAGGCTAATCCTTTGATCTCAAATATGAAGAGGTCATACTGGTCTGTGCTGGAGGCGTGCTGAGGCTGCGCAGGCTTGACTGTGGCTGATAAAATGGTCCTCTCGAACTGCAGGACACCGTTGCCCACGTCCATTTTACACAGGTTCCTGAAGTCGTGAGTCCCCTCATATCTGCCGGATGCAAGGAGGTTGTCAAATAAGGGCTACGTTTTAAAGGTGCGTTTACCTTTCATGTGTTCTCCACCCACCTTTTAGCAGCTTCCGCCATCAGCGCCACATCCAGAGATCCTCGGGGGAAGTAGTAGCGATACGTGCGGGACTGACAGTCGAAGCGTGCGCTGAAACCCTCCGCTACTGGTGCCCAGTCCAAGACCCTGATGTCCTGCGGCACGACTCTGTTCAGCATCTTCACGTATGGAAGCTCAGAGGTGGCAGAAGAAGCGGCTTTGGTACTGATGTCAACATTTTCAGGCAGTGTGATGCCCAAACCGGCACAAAACTGCGTGGAGCGCAAGTCGATGGTTATGACCTGCGGGGGAAAAAATTAACCACATGAAAAACTATTAATAGTATTAAGGTACAGAGTCTTTTCAGGTTAAAATGGAGATCGATGATAAACTGTGGTAACCCCTAAAAAGGGGCATCCGACAGAAGGAGGATATGAGTAAAAAATATGTATCTCTGCTAACTCACTTGGGAAAAAGCACTGACTCCTTTATCAGTGCGCCCACAGCGGTGGTAATTGGAAGTCTGGCGGTCCTGGATCAGCCGAGTCTTTAGCAGGGCTTCAAAGAGTCTGGCCTCCACAGTGTTGTCTGTGTTCTCCTGGACTGCAAACCCCTGATAGGCCCACCCCAGGTAAGCCAGCCGCAGAGCCACATGGCGCCGGGGGTGTGCAGAGAAGTCAAAAGGACGATCTTTTCCTGCTTTCTTTCTCTCCTTTTTGCTGCTGCCAGTGTTCCCATCAGATTTACAGTCTTCATTAAGGGATGGACTGGATGACATTTCAACATCTCCAGTTTCACTGCTCTCTTTCAGCTGGGACCTGAGCTTCTCCAGCTCAGCCTCCAGCTCCTTTATCCGCTGGATTAAAACATCTGACATGCTGCTTGGAAGAAAGAACAAAGGAAAGAACATTTATTTAAAAATTTACTTAAATATTTCTACAAATAATCAGCCCAGCTTATGTTTAATGAAGCCTACGTAATCATCTCCTTTGACATGACATTTAATTCATGTCAAAGTTTATTTAAGGGTTTTTTTTTTTTGGTCGACTGTACTACAACTGGGCTTATTTTTATAAAGTGGACTGAACGCTGCACACAGCCTGCTAGCTAGTGAACAAAATTAGATACGAGGGATTTAGTGGGATTAACGAGGCCGTAAATTACATTACAGTTAATCTGTGTTTTTACCTGTATTTTCAGCCTCGATGTTTTCGATTATTCTGCTCCTCTGTTAGCTTTGCTTCTGGCTGTCGGGATCACGCATGCTAGTCTCCCCGCTGATAAGTTTATCGGGAGGCGGACGAATTTTGCCAACGGACACATTTCCCCCCCTTCACGGGCTTTCTGGGAAATGTAGTTTAGTTGCTTAAATTGTCGTCAGCCAATGACTGCCATATTTAACAGTTATTTTTATACTCCCCATGAGCGAACATACCATAACATGGGTAAAAAACAGGCCAGAGTTTATTTCTAAAAGCTTGTCTTACACTATTAACCGCCTGTATCGATTACAGAAAACTATTATATGTATTCAAGGTAATGGATTTTTACTCCCCCCCACTAGCCTTTTCTTACCCTGAAGTGCCATGTCCTCAATCATCTTTGTTCATCTTACGTTTAAGTTGTAAAAATGAAAATAATTTGACATTTTTCATTACTGTGGCATGGCTTTCTTTATATTATTATATACCAAATTTTGTTTTTGCTATTATTACATTTATAATGTTTAAGTCTTTGAAATTGTGTCCCCAAACCTACTCTAAATAGGGCCCCCGTTAGTCCTCGAGTTACCTGATATACAGCAGATTTTATTTGTTTGTTCGTTTTGAAATTCAATTAATCTCAATTTTTATGAGTACAGCGCCAAATCACAACAACAATCACCTTAAGGCAGTTTATAATTTAAGGTGAAGACCCTTAAATAATAAAGAAAAGACCAAGCACTTGGTGACAGTGGGAAGGAAAAACTCAGTTTTAACAAGAAGAAATCTTTGGCAGATCAAGGCTCAGGGAGGGACAGCTATCTGCCTGCTAAATAGTTGGGTGTTTGAGGATGACAGGACAACCATTCGAGCTATTATAGTTTTGTATTTTTTTTTAATAGTTTGTGTTAGTTTTAGTCTTTTTAATTAAAAGTGTATGGATCACACATGCCAGGTACGATTTAGTAAAATCAGTACAGGTATTACAATAAAAACACATAACTTTTTGAAAGCATTTGAATCACATTCTTGTAGACATCCGCACCTTGGAAATCATCTACCAGACTTTGTATTAGCATTTTTTCACCCCATGTTTCAGATGAAAGATGACACAGTACTTTAATTCACAGTGACTGAGAAGCTCCTACAAAGGAACCATGCGAAATCTTCTATTTTCCTGTCCAATGCACCTTCCTCGTGATTCCTGTTTGTTTGTTTGTTTGTTTGTTTGTTTGTTTTTTGTCAGGTCAGGAGAACAGGAGTTCAAACACCAGAGGGGCAGACATATGGTATTTATGCCTATATTTTGTAAAGGGATCCACAGCACCAACACTTGTCTTTAGACATCACAAAGAGGTGAAAAAAACACACAAAAAAACCCTGAAACTGAGCTGAAAGTGTGTTTCTTTCCTCCAGCTGTTTGTGAGAGTCTTTTCATTTATTTTGTATAGCAGTAGCTTCACAGGGTAAGTGGCACAGCAGTGCTGTCAGGCACAACTGTTAATTATTCCAGATGCAGAGACAGAATTGGTCGGGCTCTTGCATTAAATCACAGTCTGCTCTTTTCTACATGTCCGATTACACATTAAATGGCATGTAATCACAGTTTGGTGTTTGTCCGCTGTGTCGTAAATAGTTTTTCAGGATGGCTACCAAACTAATCTGCCCTCTCTGCTCATTAAAGGGCCAATTCACCCAAAAACAAAACAAGCAAATAAAGACTGTCCATCCATAGAACTGGATCCAAAGTTTGGAAACGCTGATCCAGCTGTAAGTCATGGCCCTGGGTCAGTCGACCTTGTGTTTTGAATTTATGGTCTCTCGTTTATTATTTATTATGCGATCCCAACATTGCGTAATGTTTATATTATTTCTGGTAGTAATCCTCGTAGTGTGTTTAGTCTTGTTCTCTATTCTAAATTCCTTTAGAGTTTATGTGTTTTTTTCTTCCTTTTCTTCCTGTGTCAAGTTCCTTGTGAAGTTCATTTATATGTCTGTGTCCACCCTGTGTAATTATCACTTCCTATTTTACTTCAGCTTTCAGTTTTCCTTTTGTATTTTATGCTTCATTTTGTATTTTGGTTCTTAGCCTGAATAAATGTTTCACTATTACCTCACCACCATCTGCCTCTATGTTTTCTGCATTTGGGTCCTCACAAACGTCGCAATTTATGACAAACTAGCGCACTTAATTCTTGTTTTTTTTAAAGACATTAGACATATAGCCTGTAAAATCATTGAACCCTGGAAAAGAACAGTCAAAAATATAACTAAAAGCCTAAAATGAAAGAATTCGTGCCCATGATGAGTGTATGTAACCTTCTAATCACAACACACGTTTTTATTTGTTAAACGCTAATTAAACAACACCACAAAACCCCAAAGCGATCACATGTTTAATAATTATGTGCATAATAAGCATGAATGTTAATTTATAATAGATTTTTTCACCACTATAGCAGATCAATTTCTCTTTGTTAGATACCAGCTGCAATTATAGCAAGTATGTAGATAAGATTTCTTTCTAGACACAGTCGAGCATCCAGAGATAATAGAGCAGTGATGATGCATTAGCTGATGTTTTCGTAGTTCTTTCGCTTAATGTCCAGACACAAGCACACCCCGACTAATACTCCAAAAACCTGCAACAGGGAAAAGGTGAGAAGTTACTGGCAGCAAATGAACTCAATGGCACACCCAAAAGGTTATTTTCTTGTTCTGTAAAAAAGTAATTATTTCTTCATTTCATCACCTGAGGCAGTCAGGATGAGACAGGCTTTATTATCATTCAAGTTATCCTCTGCTATTTAAATATTCCTTACAATATCTGCTACTGCTGGAAACTAAATTACTAAATTAATCCAGTATACATGTTTTTATTTTTATGTAGAGACATTTGGGGTATCTTTAGATGTTTGACATTTCTGATTTTTCTTTGCCTTTTTTCCACCTAAAACAGATTGAAATTAACCTTTTGGGCTCACACTGGCTCCTGCACAGTTAATCAGTAGGTAAGTGTACTGGATTGGCATTTAAAATGATCATTTCTTACAGTAATATGACATTTGCTCTTGCAATGTGAGCATTTTGCTTCACACTTAAATGTGAGCAAGGGGAAATTGCAGAAGCTTACCTCCGTGACTCCAAGAGCAATGCAGACAGCGCCGACCCACACCAGATTTTTCAACAGGAAGAAACTGATTGCCCAGAGGCAGCCCTGAGGAGGATCGCACGGTCATAAAATACAGTATTTGTTTGCAGAAAATAGATGAAAATTGCTTGAAATGTTTTCCTGTCAGACCTTTTTATGTGCCTTCTCCTTGTCCTGTCCACAGCCCTCACTCTTAACCACGCAGCAGGAATCTGGCACGGCGTCGTGCTTTTCCCAGCCCGCGCTCTGGGACCAGTCGGCATAGCTGTCCGCACCACAACACTTGAACTGTAATGATAACGACACTGTGATAGTGAAGCACCAAAGCTGTACTAATCACTGGTTGTGACTATTTGTGGTTCACGATAAATATTCTTCAAGTGTTGCTTTGTAGAAAGTCAGTTAATTACTTAACTACTAATTTTCACACAGATGCTGAAGGCGTGTTATTTACACTTACTAGCCACTTTATTAGGTACACCTTGCTAGCATTGGGTTGGGCCTCCTTTTACCTTCAGAGCTGCCTTAATTCTTCATGGTACAGAGTCACGCTGAGATGTAAGCCTTCAAACTTAAACTCCCTAAGTAATTGCAGCATTTTTCTCATTGCTGGTCTTTGTTAATTACCCTCTCACTCTTTGCAGATTGTCTTCACAGTCTTATATTAAAGTTAGTCATCTTAATCTGACTGTAAACAAGCGCACTCAGATAGAGCAACTCCCCCCGAGTAGCAGGGCAGTACTAAACCTTTGATGTTTTATGACGTCTTTATTACAACATGCTGATGTCAGCCTGCTTTTATAACAACCATATAATATCCATAAAAAATTTGTGAGTAATATAAAATTTTTACTGATTTTCACATTTGGCGTGACCTCGGCCTTGACCTTGACCCGTTTTTCACCTAAAATAAATCAGCTTTTGCTGTTAATGGCATCCAGCAATGCACAAAATATGAGCACGTCATGTTGAAAACTCTGGACATTAGAAGGTGGGTACACTGTGGGTCACAATGATATGGAGATGTTCAGCAATGATACTCATTTGATACTAAGAGGGTGAAGTATTTTCTGCTGCATTAAACCACCAAGAGCTTGAATCATTGATACAATGCAGGATGGAGCCACGCTTTCATGTTTACACCAGATTCTGTCCTTACATATGTTGAATGTTGCAGCAGAAATTTAAACCAGGCATCATTTTCCCATCGAGAGAGGAAATGAAGAGTCCCTTTAAGGGGTTTTTGCACTTCCTCCAATCCATCAGGTGTTTCTCAAAAATACAGAACATTACAGTAGGCTCTGCGTGTCACCTTTTCCTGAATTTTGTCAATTGCATGTCTCCTCTCAGGGCTGTAGTCGTTAATCACTTCCTGTGCTTTGGCGTTGACACCATTAGCCATCTGCAGAAGGGCGGCCTACAGAGAAAATCAGATAAAATAACCAGAACAGACACTAGAACTAAGATATATTTTAAGTAATGCTACTGATATTATGACTGGAGAACCACTGCTAATGGTAAAATTTGACCTTGATCTCAAGTAGTTCCTTTCTGGTGCGATTTTAATGTCTTACCCTACTGCGAAATATGTAAAAGGCGGCTCCTGTGAGGACCTCCAAGAGGATGATCACTATCAGGATGCAGATGAACTATAGATAAAGAAAGTGAACGCTGTTAGAGATCTCCAGAACATCTCCAGTGCTCATTAAAAAAAGCTTTTGGAAAGAATCTCCACTTAATCACATTTAATTTCATTACAGTACTTACACAAGCAACCATAGATGAACTATTAAAGAAGGCACCAATGTGGCCCAAGAGGGACACGAAGGCTATGATGACCCCCACTGCAATGAGGACTATAGCAATTTTAGACAAGTTGCTCCCTGTGAAGGTGCCGATATCTGAATACGTCGAGTACTGCAGCACTCCTATAGTGATGAGGGCAACCCCAGACAGCTGAAAAAGAAGTTTAACAGCAGGACAGCAATGTAGTGATTTACATGGAAACACTAAATTAAAAGAGGGTGGTTTTGTTCATTCCTGTCAATCTAATCTAATCTAATTTTTTTCCCTATTTGTTACATTTACATGTTTCAGTGTTTAATATAAACTAACCTCTCAGTATGTTAAAAAAGTAAAAGCAATTTCTAACGCTTTGAGACTCCAGGAAATGAAGCAAACTTGGAACAGTGGTGAACTTTCCCAGGAGCGGCCGTCCTACCAAGATTACTCCAAGAGTTCATTGACGACTCATCCAGGAGGTCACAAAAGACCCAGAAGACCCGTAGGCTTCACTTATATTAGCTGAGCTCAAGGTTCATGATTCAATAATAACAAAGAGACTGGGTAAAAATGGCATTCATGGAAGAAAACCACAGCTGACCACAGAGAACAGAAGAAGCACAAAGGCTCGTCTAACATTTGGCAGAAAATCTGGGTAAATATTCGGTGGACGGAAAAGACATAAGCTAAACTTTCTGGAAGGTTTGAATCCCATTACATCTGACATAAAAATAACACAACATTTTATTTAAAAAAACATCACACCAGCAGTCAAACATGGTGGTGGTGTGTGATGGTCTGGGGCTTTGTTGCTGCTTCAGGACCTGGACGAGTTGCTGGAACTGATCAGAATTGGCCAGAAAATCCTGAAGGAGAATTTCTGGCCATCAGTTTGTGCCCTGAAGCTCAAGAGCACTTGTGTTAGTATATGTTAGTATGTGTTATTTTGTCCTTTATAATCATACGACCATTGCCTGTTATTGGATTTTTGCCCTTTGACAGCTTTGTAATTGGATTGTGTGCTCTCACTGACTGCCTACCAGTGTGTGACATCCTCATCTTCAGCGTAACACGGCGTTATTTGCATTTCATAAAATTTGAATGTGTGTATTGCTGGCACAGAAACTTATCAACCTTAATAATACATCTCAAAAGTATGACATTTTTCTTGAAATATTTTTAAAATAGATATATTTCATATATATATATATATATATATATATATATACGTGGGTTACACGTCATGCACCAGTTAGTATTTAGGGCATAAAATTTCTGGAGCGTGCACAGGACACCGTGCAGGTTTATCTGGCGATGATACTGATTAGCTTCTAAATTTGTTAAAGTTCCCTTTGCTCAGCTCAGCTGCTACAACCCCACAAGACGGCTTAATATGAGTATGTTTTGGAAATTTGGAAGGGCAAATCAAGTCTCTTGTTGCATGTGTATCTTCCCTTGGATAATCCGGCATGCAGTCAAAGTTTCCTGGACTTCTAAAAAGATATGAGTGATTCAATTTTGGCTTTATTCTTTCATTACCTCTACTGCTCCTGCTCTTTATTGATTCTAATCTTTCTATGATATCACCAATCAGTGCTGTCAATCATCACTTCTCATCAAAATTAGATAGAATAGATTTGCTCTATTACTCACCAAGAAGAGCGTGTTGAAAAAAATGAAGCAACACTTGATGCCGAAGAAACTGCACATTTTGAGGTGGTCTGAGCAAATAATAAATAAGTGAATCCAGAAGGTTGCAGACTTCCCTCAATCCAAATACGGGTCAAGTCAGGGTGAATAGAGTGCAATTCAGTGGCGAGTGTGTCCCTATGGAAATGAACCGGCAGCCCGATAGCTTTCAAGTTGATGTAGGTATCTTTTGAATGCATCAAGCCCGTCTTTGCATAGAGGCGTCACACATCAGTGAATAGAAACTGTACTGTAATATACGGTCATTTAAATACTGGGAATTTCACTCGATAAACAACCTATAAATCTAAAAGGTCTCCCCCAAATATGAAGATGTTCTGTCTTTTTAAACATTTATGTGGCAGATGTTTGCAGATGTTCTGCCTCTCTTTGTAGTTGTTTTGGGACCTTCAGGTGATGTCTTCAGAGCTCTTTGATCTCTGTAGATTATTTAGATTTTTTTGTGACTATTTTGTCTCATTTTGATCATTTTCTGTATGCGGTGTGTTTTGTAGTTGACAATCAGGTGTAGCCGGGCCTCACCCTGTGCCTGCGGTTGCTAGTCAGTAATCCATACATATCCCCTGCAATGTAGACACTGCAGCGTGAATATTATTGAAGCAGATCAATTTTCATAGTATGTTTAAAATAACATGCCATAATACTTAACACTAAACAAAAAGGTGCAATTTAAGTGTTTGTTTCTGTATTCTTATTAAAATACCAATTAAAAGAAACCAATTTTCACCACAACAATTTTTCTGGAATATTTTTATTCAGTATTATTCTTTTAATTTTGTTAAAATCCAGAAACAGATAAATAAAATCTGCATTTTTGTCTCAAAAAATATATATAAACATTTAGTTTTCTGTCTTAACTCTGAGCAACTGCAGAACTGTGATTATCTGATCTTGCTTCTTCTTCTTCCTTCCTTCCTTCCTTCCTTCTGTTTGGGGACCAAGCTCTTTCTCACAGCTTCCCCACCAACACGTGGATCACGGACCGCCTGGCTCGACTCACAGTGACCTCGATATGAGAGGCAGAGATGCTTGTTGCACACTGACAGAGTTCTCTTTGTTTCTCACATCTTTTTATATTCCTTTCCTTCTTCCTTCCACTTTCGTTCTTCTTTGATGTTTGCTCTTTTCCCTCTCCTGCTTTCTCAGAGCTCAGGTCAGACTGCCTCGACCTGCGAAGAACAGTGCTGCATCATATTTTTCTCTGTTTTTCCCTTTAACCACCGGATTGCAGGCTCTTTGAACGTCTTTCCTTCAAGAAGCAGTAATCATTAGAGAACTAACAGAGGGTTGGCTGTCAGTCAGGAGGCAGGTTTATCTGTTGCCTCACAAGTCATTTGTGTTCACTCATGCCTGTGGTTTTGTCTGCCTTCTTCTCATCACAGAGTCTCTGTCCGTGGAGCTTTATCTGCTTGTTCTTATTTGCCTGCAGGATAAAGAAGAATATTTGAGATTACTTGAGTGAAGTCTGCTTCAGTGCTGATAGTTTAGCAAAGCAGTCAATTTTTATGACTTGAAAAAGTCAAACCCAGGACTTGGATGAACTTAAATATTCTCACGGATGGATCTTAAACACCAGTGAATTTAGTTTTTCAGCAAAGTAAACAATGGCAGATTTTATCACCTCTGCAGTGCGAGGCATATAGCCACAGGGGGGCTCCATTTCCAACCATTTAACTGTAATAACACTGACATTCACTAATATTTGGACTTCCATTGCTTCGATGTCACAGAGTGATGGAGAGATGGAGTCTGCATGTCTCTGAAGGCGTTTGTGGGAACAGGACGCAAAATGATTACAACATAGTCTGCATGTCTTTGAAGGACGTCATGAGAACAGGAAGAAAAATCATTACCATAGATGGAGTCAGGGACGGAGATCATCGTCCTTCCTTCTCTTTGCTTTTCCTGTTTTGAATTCCAGTGGACTTCGTCAAAAGCTTATGTGACTTCCGCTTGATAAGAATCATTAGTCAGGAACGAGCTTGGACTCTAAGGCTGTGCTGTCTTGGATATTAATGAATATTAATGAAAAACTAATGAATATACATAAGTTGTTGGACAAAGACACACTTTTTTTAGTTTTGCCTCTGTGTGGATAATAAAAGCTACACAAGACTTTCTCAAGACGAATGACAATGTTGCAGCCCAAGAGTTTCTCAAGGCAACAACATTCTTCAATGCCCAAGTTGGTCACCTGATCTCAACCCAGCCGAACATGTGTTTCAGTTATTAAACACACAACTGAATGCATGAAGACTCACAACCAAGCAGCAGCTGAAGGTGGCTGCAGTAAAGGCCTAACTGAGCATCTCAAGGGAAAAAACACAGCATTTTTTTTTTTTTTAAATCCTTAATATATTGATTTTGGGAGGGTTACATAAATCTGAAGTCTGCACTTCAGTTGCACATTGACTGCTTGAGTTAAAATCCACTGAGGTTAAATCACAAAATTGTATCTTTTGCCCTGCAAATTATCGAGCTAACTGTATTTTGTACAATAATGATGTTATCCTATAGTAGATGGATCCATAAAGCGCATGTGCTGATTGCATTAAACAGTTTCTTTTTGATCACATATGGTTTATTTCTAAATAATATGAGATTCGATTAAGAAAGACAGAAACTTCTCTTCATGCATGGTGTATTTTCTGTTTTTTTTCTTTAGATTATAAAGAAAAGCACAGCATCTACATACATTTTAAGATTCATGCAGAATTGTAAAACTGATGCATTGCATTCCAGTACCTGCCCTTTGTCACCATCAGTACCCTGTTAATCATTCATGAGTCTGCTCCATCAATCTGTATGCTTTGAGCAGTGGAGATTTGTCTGCAGTCTGATGTAAACTGTGCGCCTCAGCCATATGGGAACACTTACAAATACCAGCCTGTGTAATCGTTTCCTTACATTCTTGCACGGAGGAAGAAAAACACATTATAGGGGTTCGTTTGATGCATGTCGATAGGCTGTTGCTCAACCTGTTGTTGGTGTTGAATGTAAGGCAGAAGAAGAATTTGTTGCTTGTTCTGATAATCATTTAGCCACAATTAGGTCAGCATCAACCGGTTTACATAACCGGTTTTATGTGAGCACACAACAGCTCTTGATGATGTACAGTAGAGATCAGGTCGCTATAGCGCTATAAAATCTGCAGCAGGACTCTCTAAGTAGCAGCACTGCACATGCACAATTATGTATCAGTATTTGGGTCATCTAGATGGGTTCATAAGGTTTTTGCACTTACATAAGAATATTACTTTTTTATAGAAATTGTATTAACATCTACTATAAAATGAATCATTTTTGGTTACAGAATTTTAAATTAAACAGAAGCATAGGTTAGTACCCTCAATAACAAGATACACTTTCAGAGTAGTATCAGAAAGAAAAGAAAGCCCAGCCAAGGCATTTAAACGAGCTTCACATAAGGTAGACGAGAGAAAGCCAGTCTATGGCTAGCAACTGTTCAACAATAGAGAAATGAAAGCACACCTTGGAGACACACCCAGCCAGCAGCTTTCCCATATAGAATTAAAGGTGTCTCATTTACAAGTGGTGCTCAGTGTGGTCACATGGTCACCCGTCTCTACTTTCTGTAAAAGAAAGTCAACCCCACAAACCCACAGTTACAGAGATTCACTTCAGTGACATGTCTCAGTGTGGTGTGCTGCTCACCTGAGTGAATGCACAGTAGAAAAAGCTGTCGTACTGGCTCTTCTTGATTCCTGCGGGGGCTCTGGAGGTGTGTCTCTGCGGGGAAATATAAGTGAGTAAAATGGCTCAAGGAAGCTGACTGTGGGAACTATACTCATGGTTTGAGAAGAAATACTATTTATATTCATGCAGGTAAGTGTTTTTTTACTCTCGTTTGGTGTGTGTTGCTTTTAATCCTCACCTTATTGCATTCTTTTTCTCTTTAACTTGAGTGTTTTCTTCCTCCCACACATTTCCTAACCTCTCTTAGTGCCTCCTTTGTTTTCTGTCACATGTGTTTCTGTCTTTCCTTCTGTTCTCGGTGCAGAGGGTCAGTGGGGACTGGACATGTGTGCTTCTAATTATCCGTCTGATAAAACGGACCTTTTTCCCGTGAACTTTGGGGCAGAGGGGGAGGCAGTGATTTCAGAGGAAAGCAGAGGCTCCTCCTGTTTGCATCTCAAAGGACGTGCGAATGCAGACAGGGTGAGCATGCAACACATCAGATTCACACAAGGATTCTAGATGGAGCGAGCCTAACTGCAACTAAGAGAAGAAGAGGAGGCCTAACAGATGAGTGCCTGATCTACAGCTGCTGACTTGCTATCATCTGATATTAAAGATGGACCAAGATGGGAAGGCACCGAAGACTTTTGTGTCCACCTTACGATTTGCCCTCAAGCCTCAACCGAAGCCTCAGAAAGAGAATGGACTGGGTAACATTAAAAGGAAGTTGGTGGGAAACTACAAACTGAGCTTTTCATCTGCATCAGGTAAGGCCTTGAAAAAGATGTGAAATGTTAACTTTAGT